GTTCTACTCTCTCTCTCTCTCTCTCTGTCTCTCTCTTTCTACCGACGACGCTTCGTGGCGAGTGGCCGCCAGGAAAAAAGGGCCACCTAAAAGGGTTGAATTAATGTCGCGATAAATATATGATTTAAGGTGGAAACGTTTGCAACTCCGGCTAATTTTTTATCTCAGACCGCGACGCTCGTCGCGAAGAGGAGAAGGAGGTGGAGAACGTGGAGGAACGTTTTTTTTTCTTCTTTCTGTTTTTTTTTCTCCCTCCTCCCCTCCCCTCCCTCCCGCCTTTACCCCCTTTTTTCTTCTTTCCTTTCTCTTTTTTTCTTCTTTTTTCCTTTTTTTTCCTTTTTAGGACGGAGAAAGAGAGACCCGCTCAACGATATCTCCTCCAACGAGAACGAGAGAGAGAGAGAGAGAGAGAAAGAGAGAAAAAGAGAGAAAAAGAGAGAGAGAGAGAAAGAGAGAGAAGGAGGAGAGGGGAAGAGAGCGTGCTTGGGTCGTGGAGAGGAGTTTGGGTCGTTCTAGAAGCAGAGAAGAGAAACGACGCGGACGAGAGGTGACGCAATGTCGGAGGCAGGTTCACCGAGGGAGGTGAGACGTGAGGGAGATGACCAACGATTATTTCTTTTTTCAGGTAATTTACTAGCGCCGAGAATTCGAGCGGACGCGTGCTTTTAAATAGTTCGCGCCGCCACTCCAAGGACTCCTCCTTTTTCACCGCGCGCTCCGCGTCGTTTTGCACCTTTTTTTTCCTTTCCTCCTCACCCCAACCCCCATTCTCTTTCTCTCTCTCTCTCTCTCGCTTTCTTTCTCTTTCTCTTTTCATGACCCTCATTACATATGATTCATAGAACGAAATAGAGTTTACGTTCTAACGAAAATTATATAACATAGTTAGAGCATTTAATATTAGTCTTTAAATTATCGATCGATCGATCGATCGATCAATCAATTTCATTTCTATATGATCGATACGTTCGACTCAAATCGAAAATATCGATTATTCCGTTCAATCCTCAGATTATATCGGTAGAATCAAATATCACGATTATGCGAGATACTGAAACTACACGTGCCCGGTTAAACTACAAACGTTTGTCTCTTTCCAATTATCTGAATCCACGATGCTGACATCGAGGATTCAACCTGGGTTCCTCTTCGAGGAACATCCTTAGACTCTTTTTCGTATCAGCAGGGTGAAAGACAGATAGAGAGATATATAGACAGAGAAAGAGAGAGAGAGAGAGAGAGAGCGAGAGCGAGAGAGAGCGAGAGCGAGAGAGAGAGAGAGAGAGAACAAGGAGTGAGTTCATACGTGACGACGACGACAACGATGATGTCGACGTACTGACATCCCTTATTTCTCTCTCGCGACACGGCGGGACAATATAAGAGAGGGAAGAAAGAGAATGTGGAAAGAGAGAGAGCAAGAGAAAGAGAGATAGGGAGGAAGGTTGGATGGGAGGAAGGGAGGGTCACCCTCCGCAGGAAACGAAAGGCGCCACGACCGCTTAGGTTTCCGCAGAGTCGACGCTTTTTGGATTAACCGCCTGGACATTAGAATACGGAATTGATATATTATGGGCCATGGACCGTCCACCCTCTCCTCGCTAGTCCCCCCACTTTTCCCTACCAACCTTCCTTTCAACCTATCCCTTGCTCCTTATACAGCAAGTACACTTCCACCAGCAACGTTCGTTCTGGAAACGAACGAAACCGCTTCCTCGAGGCGACCTCACCCTTCCTTCCATCTTCCTTCTTTCCTTCCTTTCTTCCTTCCTCGAAAACCACCAGTCCATTTCTCTCTCTCTCTCTCTCTCTCTCTCTCTCTCTCTCTTTCTCTTTCTTTCTCTCTTTCACTCTTTCTCTCTCGAACGTTCAAAAACCGCCCGGTTAGCGTGGATCCGTAAAAGAAGGAGTAGGGCGGTCGTCCGGTTACGCGCGTTCTTTAGGCATGACCGCTCGCCGTTCGCATCGTTCATCGTATTATCCGCCCTCGTAAAACACTCCTTTATAGATTCAACGTTAGGTTCCTAACGGCTAGCAACCCTGCCGCCAGCCAACGTCTTTCACCCCTTTTCCTTACCACCACCACCACCCAATGCCTGCCCCCCTTCCTATCCCTTATCCTTTCTTTTTATTTTCGTTACGCTCGTGCCTCGGAGTCGGCGGTCGTCAGTTAATAGCGTGAAAACAGTTTTCTCGAAAAGTTGCATCCAAAAATTTCCTATCCCTTCCTTCCGTTCCTTTCTCTTTTAAATTTTACTTCTTCTTCTTTCATTTCATTTCATTTCATTTCATTCATTCATTCATTCATTCATTCATTCATTCATTCATTTGTACGTTAAAAAACAGATCAGATGTTATTAAATAAAAATTTTTTGATAAATAATATCGGTACTACTTTGGAACGATTGAATCCATTGGATCGTTCGTTCTTTTTTTTTTTCTTTTTTAAAAAAAAGATCCTTTTCTTTCTCTTTCTTTCTTCACGATTAACAAATAGAAA